ACCTCATCATCTTTAGTGTGGGCACCCGGATGTGACAGCTGGTGGCTTCACAGCCGGGTGCCCACTGCGCATGCGCGCGAGAAACACTGTGCTTTGTGAATGGTCCCGTAGTCTTCTGGGACCTGCCACGTGTCCCAGAAGACTACGGGGAGAGAGGTGATCACAGTGGGAGTGGGTACTTGTCAAATTCGGGTACCCGCCCTCCCCCCCCGCTCCCCAAAGGTCTGCAGTCTCTGGTCATCTCCTGTAGCATATCCGCAGTCTCTGGTCATCTCCTGTAGTATGTCCGCAGTCTCTGGTCATTTCCTGTAGTATGTCCGCAGTCTCTGGTCATCTCCTGTAGTACGTCCGCAGTCTCTGGTCATCTCCTGTAGTATGTCCGCAGTCTCTGGTCATCTCCTGTAGTATGTCTGCAGTCTCTGGTCATTTCCTGTAGTATGTCCGCAGTCTCTGGTCATCTCCTGTACTATGTCCGCAGTCTCTGGTCATCTCCTTTACTATGTCCTCAGTCTCTGGTCATCTCCTGTACTATGTCCGCAGTCTCTGGTCATCTCCTGTACTATGTCCGCAGTCTCTGGTCATCTCCTGTACTATATCTGCAGTCTCTGGTCATCTCCTGTAGTACATCCGCAGTCTTTGGTCATCTCCTGTAGTACATCCGCAATCTCTGGTCATCTCCTGTACTATGTCCGCAGTTTCTGGTTGTTTCCTGTACTATGTCTGCAGTCCATTGGTTCAAAATATTTTTTTTCTTGTTTTCCTTCTCTAAAACCTAGGTGCATCTTATGAAGCAAAAAATAAGGCAGCTTCAAACTAAGCCCTCCAGTGGCACGCTGTCACCACTGAAGAGTCTTCCATCTTCACCTGGTCTTCCTTCTGGGTTTGTGGGCTGCGGCTACTTGACTGGCTGAAACACAATGACGTCACATTTAGGAGATATTTTTACCTAAAGGTAAGCTTTATTATAAGCTTACCTGTAGATAAAAATTAAAAAGAAAAATAGTTTACTACCACTTTAATTATGCATACTGCTTTGAGTTATGCAGTGCTTTTCCAGTTTTACATTTCTGTATTTGCTTTTATAGAATAAAACAATGGTGTACACCGCAAATGTTCATAACACAGATAAGAACATAACACTGCAAGATTTCTTTCATAGGCACTTGTGAAAAACACATTTCATAGCCAGACCTCTTTTTTATATTGATAAATTGACTTAACCTTTCTTTTTCATCCGGATGAAAAATTCCCCTGCCAGAGCCCTGAGCATCTCTAAACATAGTCGTTATTTACTTCAGAATATAAGAATTCCAGAAGTATCTTGTGAATTTAAATGTTCTTGGAATATCAAAATTGTTTCCACACATTTATGAACATCTCTATGCAGAGATGTGACAGAATAATCTTTTTGCTGATAGTAATCTGCAATGGGATGTTCATGGCTTAAATACAGTATTTACTGTGGAACTGAGGGGGTCAATGTAATGTTATCGCAAAAAAAGGACATTTTGTCAAATTCATGCGTACTGCCCCAAATTTTATCCATTTATAACACTGCAAGTACATAAAATTGCTTGATTGGTAGCCTCCCTGGCGGTATTCCCAAGTGTAGCTCGGGGTAAAGTTTCAGTACCACAAGCGGTAACCCACTCAGGCTTACCATGCGGCGCTGCTCTGTGATCACTTACCTTGTCCTGCGCTCCCGTGATGTCCCTCCTGCAGTGTCCCCGGCAATGTAATCAGGTGGATGCCGGCATCTGTCATCTGGGTTCTGTCCCCTGCAAGCGTCGGGACGTACGGGGATGGAACGGCAGGAAATTTGAAAATGACAAAAAGTGACATTCATTAAATTCACTAAAATCACATAGTATAACATTACTGTATCAAACCATTTCACATAAATTTTGTCCCGAGTGCTTTGTCCTGTGCCCTGCCTGCATTTTTACTGTTCTTTCTGCCTGGAAACTGAGAAACGTCCATGGCGTCCAAAAAGCGCCCCTTTAGGTCAAAAGCTGTTTTAGACCGGCTAGAGAACAGCGATAGTAAATCAGAACCACTTGCAGAATTGAGTGATAATGATTCGTGGGGAAATTCGTCATCAGACACTGAAAACGATTTTGCGACTTTGCTCAGCGTTGAGCAAACTTGGCACTATATTTCAAATTTCAGTGTTTTTGGTTTGATTATATTATTGAATTAAATTTATTATTATTATATATTATTATTATTATTATTTTTTTTATGATTATTTATTAAATTATAATTTATGATTTCGTGTTTCAAGTTTTATCATACCCGGGATGTTTACTAGACTCTTGTTCGGACAGATTTCAGTGAGTTATTCCTAAAAATTACAGGCCTACAATAAAAGAAAAACATATTTCCATGCAAAAAAATGTACCGTTTTGAGCACAGAAATATGGACATAATCAGACCACTAGGGAGGTAATCTTAAAGAAATTCAACTTACGCCAAACTTCCCGTTTCAGCTGATAACATAGTGCTTTGAAATTCCTACCAGCGTTGTCATCCCGGCTTGCTGGAGTACAGAACTCCATTTATCTCCAACCATCTCCGCCCCACTTCACAGGAATACATTAAACTGGTAGCAAAGTCTAATTAAAAAAAAAAAAAATCCGGTCCTACTGCAAGTCAGTGGCATAATGTAAAGGCTTAACCATAAAGCGAAGCCTTTCAATGGGGCATTGTCACCTCTGACATGGCTTCCATCTTCACCTTGTCTTCCTTCTGAGTTTGCGGGCTCCAGCCATTTGAATGGCCAGGCTGCAATGACGTCTCTTCGATGCATGCACAGGGGAGTCATGGCACAGCACAGTAGGTAAAAGTGACAAAGAGGCACTTATTACCGCTTTAACCCTTTTGCTGCCCCCAGATTGTGTGTTAAATTGACAGGCAGACTTCTGCCTGTCAGGTGGAAGCAGTCAAGCCGCTGCGCTGCTGCCCGATTGCTTCCACACACACCGGTAACCTTGCCCCCGTTATTTATTCCGGGCTCTTCTTGCCCGACTGTGGGCTCAGGTCAACATGGCGGGTGCCGGCAGTTGGAGGCGAGATCCCCTTCTTGCTGTGACCCAGAAGGCGCCATGTATGACCTCACTTCCAGATCACTCTGTCACCCTATATTGCAATACGTTCAGTGGAGCCCAGTGGAGATACACTATATTGCCAAAAGTATTGGGATGCCTACCTTTACACACACATGAACTTTAATGGCATCCCAGTCTTAGTCCGTAGGGTTCAATAGTGAGTTGGCCCACCCTTTGTATCTATAACAGCTTCAACTCTTCTGGAAAGGCTGTCCTCTAGGTTTAGGAGTGTGTCTATGGGAATATTTGACCATTCTTTCATAAGCACATTTGTGAAGTAAGGCAATGATGTCAGACAAGAAGGCCTGGCTCGCAGTCTCTGCTCTAATTCATCCCAGGGGTGTTCTATCAGGTTGAGGTCAGGACTCTGTGCAGGCCAGTCAAGTTCCTCTACCCCAAACTCACCCATCCATGTCTTTATGGACCGTGCTTTGTGCACTGGTGCACAGTCATGTTGTAACAGGAAGGGGCCATCCCCAAACTGTTCCTATTAAAGTTGGGAGCATGAAATTGTCCAAAATGTCTTGGTATGCTGATGCCTTAAGAGTTGCCTTCACTGGAACTAAGGGGCCAAGACCTACCCCTGAAAAACAACCCCACATCATAATCCCCCCTCCACCAAACTTTACACTTGGCACAATGCAGTCAGGCAAGTACCATTCTCCTGGCAACCACCAAACCCATACACATTCATCAGATTGGCAGACAAAGAAGTGTGAATGGCGGCAACCAGCGACTTATAGCGGGACTGCGGCAGGCATTCTGACACTGGGGGGAATTGACTTGGTGTCACTGACATCCCCAGTGACACCACGACAGTGATCAGTGCTAAAAAAAAAGCACTGACACTGTAATGGGCAGGAAGGGGTTAACTTGAGGGGCGATCAAAGGGTTAACTGTGTGCTGGGTGTGTTTTACTATGTGCGCTTCACTGTAAGCACACTGCTTTGGATGGCTGTGCTGTTAGTAAACAAAACAGTTCTCCTCGTCGGAGATCTTCGGTAATCACAGGTCGCCAGTGATTGACAGCCGCGCATGGTGACGCGGGTAGGGAGCACGCACACCCCCTACCTGGGAATGCGAAATCATGTATATATACGTGATTTTGCACACCTGTGCCGCCCTGTAGCAGTATTTCTGCTATAGAGCAGTCGGGAAGCGTTTAATGTATTTCCCAGCAAAATTGTGCTGCTTTTTTTACTCCCAATAACCTGCCTACACAGTGGGGGGATCTACTAAAGCTTAGAATCTGGTGCAGCTGTGCATGGGAGCCAATCAGCTTCCAAATCTCATCTTGTTCAATTAGGCTTTGAGAATAAAAACTGGAAGCTGATGGTTTCTATGCAGAGCTGCACCTGAATTTGCATTCTCTAACATTAGTAAATCAACCCCAGTGTGTGTAGGAAAAAGGCCCTTGGAAGATGTACTTCAGGAGGCATGTCAATGTCACTAGGAACTGGCCTCTTAGCAGCTGCCCCTACAAGAATTTAGGAAGTCTGGGGACTTAACAGGGAGTAATAAGAACTGTCTTGCTATAGGAACAAGGTAAAAAAAATGTGTGAACATTCCCTAGAGGGGGAAAGCGAGGTTTGGGGGTAAATTTACATAATGCCTAGACATACACATTTAGGCTTCATGTTGGTGCATGTACTATTACTGTATTTAAAACTAATACACTTTTTAAATATATTTTATTTTTAAATATATGAAAGCAGTGGTGTTGGTCTCATCCTGAAATAAATAAGACACAATAAAGTCCCTCTTTTGTTGTAGGCTTTTTCAGCTGTACATGAAGAGACAAACGCTTTTTTTATCACTTTTTTTTTCGTACTGTCACCAGTCAGTGTCCCTGATCACCGCCATGCCAGTTATATGATGACGCTGTACTGCACTGGTGACCGTATGTAAAAAAAAAATAGTGAAAATATTTTTTTTTTATTTCTTCATATCCGAAAAATTATGACAAAAAAATTTCAACTTCAAAAAACTCGCCATGCCTGTTATGAAATACGTCAGACTGTCTACTTTGCAAAAAGGGGTCATTTGGGGGATATCTGTACTGTTCTGACATTCTTGGACCTCAAGAAATTAGATTGGCCATCAGTACTTCAGAATTGATCGATATTCAGATATATACATAGTTTGTGAAGACATGTAGTAGAATACATTTTGGCCTAAATTTATGAAGAACAATTATTTAACTTTTATAACAAAAACAAAGAAAAACGTGTTTTTTTTCAAAATTTTTGGTCTTTTTTTGTTAATTTAGCAAAAAATCAACACCCCAGTGGTGATTAAATACCACCAAAAGAAAGCTCTAGTTGTGTGAAGAAAATGCTAACATTTTAGTTTGGGTACAGTGTTGTATGACCGCGCAATTGTCATTCAAAGTGTAAGAGTGCTGAAACCTGAAAATTGGCCTGGGCAAGAAGGGGGTAAAAGTGCCCGGTATAGAAGCGGTTAAACGATGATACCATTCCTTCATTTTTATATAGTTACATAGTTAGTCTGGCTGAAAAAGGACAAATACCATCCAGTTCAACCATTAAAAAAAAAAAAAAAAAAAAAAAGTTATAATCCTATACCTACACTTGATCCAGAGGAAGGCAAAAAACACCCCCAGCAAAGCATGATCCAATTTGCTCCTGCAGGGAAAAAAAATGCCTTCCTGATCCCCCGAGAGGCAATCGGATATTCCCTGGATGGATCAACTTTACCTATAATGTTAGTATCCAGTTATATTCTGTGTATCTAAGAAACAATCCAGGCCTTTTTTGAAGCAATCCACTGAGCTGGCCAGAACCAACTCTTGAGGTAGTCTATTCCACATTTTCACAGCTCTCACTGAAGAAACCTTTCCATGTTTGGAGATTAAATTTCTGTTCTTCCAGATGTAAAGAGTGCCCCCTTGTCCTCTGTGATGACCTCTGAGTGAATAACTCTACACCTAATATGACTGCCGTGTACGTAGATAGGTAAACATTATACACAAAAAACATGTTTTTTTTACATTAATACACATTGATGACATCCAGCTGAACTTTAACAGGTTAAAAAAAAGACAATACTTTTTCATAATAAATGTAAACAGTCATTAAAATCTCTTATTAGATTTAACATGAAATGAGATTCCAAAAGTTGCTTCTAATCTTTTTATATCTGTAGCCTCCCTAAATATCTTACCTGGAGATGCTGCCATGAAGTATTGTGTTCAGAAATTTCCTGCTAAAAGTTGACAACTGTCTCCCAATTGCACTTCCTCATTGTCATCTTGTCACACTCGCTTTCGATGAAAACTACAAGCGGCCTTGCCGATGCACTTTGCTCAGTTATTGTGCTGTTACAGTTGTTGTGTGAAAATATAATACAGCGCATAGTCATGGTTAATGTTCCTATTACTGTGAATTGAGAATTATTATAGTTAATTTCCGTAAAGTGTTACTAAACCCACAACAGGAAAATCAACCTGTATATGCAGTAAAGCATGCTTGTTATACTCACTGTGGAACCTAAGGGGTTAATTCTCTGCACGGTATAAAAAGTCCATTTTGATCCTTTTTTCTATGCTCCTCCTCTTGTTCAAATGTGCACGTCTTATCTCCTGATAAGACAGACTGAACCTGTAGTCACATGCACATGCTCAGTCTAGTGTGTATTGCTAGAGAGGTTTTTTTATTTTTCTTGGAAGAGTGCATGTGATCAGCACAGGGCCAATCAGCAAAGTCCAGGCAGAGGTCAGGGGTTCTGCATCCCCCTAGAGCAGAAAGAAAACTCCTCCTACAAGCTTTAACTAGTGCTCTGCTGAAGTCACAAGACTGCTCTAACTGCTGATGAGAAAAGGTATTTATCAGTTTATATTTACTACAATAATTGCACTTCCATGTTGTGTGTACTGTGGGAGACCAGATATGGTGAATGCAGGGTCCTGGGTTTAGTAACACTAGTTTAAGCCATTCTTTATTAGTCTCAGTATAGTTGGTTAATATTGTGGTCATCTTGGTTATTGCACCATCTTTTTTCTGTGATCATTTTATGATGCACTTCCTTCCTCTTCTTCTTGAAAATGCATTATGGGATAAAGATAGCTGCAAGTCTCAAACCCACAGGTTAATCTGCTGTTCTGGGGGAACGCATTTTCAGGTTTTGACCTGAAAATACCATCCTTTCATTTATCTATTACATCCTGTTGTCTGTTGTAATCAAATTTCATGCAATTAAGATCTTCCTGAATGAGAAAAAAGGTGTTTGGTTCAGTTCAGCTATCTGATAAAGACTAACCGCGGTGATTGTATCTGCTTATACAGGCATAGAGGTCAGAATAGTAATGGTTCACTATTGTCACCATAAGCTGGTGTTGAGCACTGATGTCAGTCAATGCTGGTGTGAGTATATATAGACAAGAAGTAGCTAAATTGGCTAGAGGAGATCAACAATCCTGAGATGCAAAAAATGGACAAAAATAGCGTTTTATTAAAGCGGAATTAAACCTTGATGTAAAAAAATGAATAAATGGGCCCATGGCAGCTTTATGCTATATTTGTACTAGAATACACCACAGACTTTATTAGCACATTATGACAGACTTACCTTCCAAACAATCTCCTACAATACTACGCTGTTGGCACTCTTGGTTGTCATGGGTGCTGCCCTCTTCTCCCAGTCCTTCTTCCAGATTTGGACTCTTCAGCCACTTGACTGGCCAGTTGCAATGATGTCAGTCATGCAAATGCCCCTGAGAGTCACATCATCACAGCACAGAGCTACACCATAAATGTACACTCACTATACATTAATGCTGAGGGAGGGACACTTACAACACCAATAAGGTCTCTTTTGTCATGTGCTTTAAAACAGAAATAACCTCATCAATTTAACAGTTTCCCAAAACATTTACATTCAAGGCATGCTGTGAATAATTGTCATAGTTGCTTGTGCTCTCAACCCAAGTGTTAAGCCATGAAATAGCCAGTGTCCCCTTAAACAGACTTAGCTCCCTGTTTTCGAGCAGTATTATGGGCTCCTATGTCAAGATGATCGAGATTAGCTTGGTGAGGCTGTGGCCCGTGGGGCTGGGTGGCTGGATAGCTAAGTGATAGGGGCGGGGTGCTCATGGACTGCATTACATTAGTTAATAAGGAGGGTTCAGTTTGGCTTCAACATCCTACTATTTGGCTTGAATAGTGCAGATTAGGGAAAGCTTTTGTTGCATCATAGGAGCTAAGTTTCCCCCAGGATCAGACCTGTTAAACCATGTTATGTTAAAGAGTAGGAAAAGTCACATACTTTTTATTGTTGTAGATTTGTTAGATGACTGCTTATAATTGTTAGCAGTGTGCCTTTTTAGCGTCACCCTTGGATCAGTTTTATTAAGGAGATAATCACAGTTGACTTGGTTGGAGAATTGGGGTCATGGCTTGCTGAGATGGCAGTGTCTGAAGGTGTGGAGATACCGTCTGAAGTAACTGTCTTGATCAAGTTTCCAGATTCGGCAAAATGAGAGACAGATCACCTCCTTACTGCAAACATTTACAACAAATGCAAATTAGTCTCAGCTTTCATAGCTTTTATTTTGTATTTCATAGCATTCGGCTTGTTTAGTGTTCCTAGTACAGAAGTGAAAGAAATATCCTTTCTCAATTGCAAAATGATTTTATTAGATGAATAATGAAGCGTTGGAGAGTCATTGCTGTTTTGACAGATGCTTGACAGAAACTGTTTTTTATGGTTACATTTACCTGTTGCCTGAATCAGTTTCTCACAATACAAAATAGTTTGAGTGTATAAAATGATATGGTGCATAATTGTCATGTCAACTTGTGACTGGAATTCTAATGGCCTCACATTGTTTATTGTAGCTGGATAAATTACTGATGTTTGTGTTCCAAATGTTTTTCTGACTAGTCCACTTGAGGGTCACATGTATAAGCATTCAGGATATAATGATGTTATATGTGTACATTTAACAACCAGCCTGACATTTGGGATAGACATAGGTCTCATTCATGTGCGTAGTGACAATCAAAATTATGTCCAAGAGTATAGCGATGTCTTTCTCCAAATCTTTGCAATTGATTCTCAGCATTATAGAATGTAATGTTCTGCAAAGGCTTGTTAAATACTTTGTCTGCTCAGTAGCTGCTCTGAGGCAATCTCAAAACATTCTGTTGGAGCTTTTTAAAGTAAACAAGAAAACGTCTCCTCAAAAGCCACCTATGAAACTCTGTGTAAATGTGGCCTTAAGCTGACCATACAGTACATGGATCAAAATGTGGTCAGTTTCAGCAAGGACCAGCTGAATTTCAATCCTTGTGTGGCCATTGCAGTTGAACAGAAGTCAATCTACTGATCGAACTCTGTTCAACCTCCCTATTGGAAAAAAGCCAGTCAATCAGCAGCCAATGAATGCACGCTGATCTGTGTATTCTAATTGGTTCCTTGGGCACGGCTACATGGATAGGAATGTTTCTATTGATCAACTACAGCCTCTACACCTGGAACTGCTGCATACATACCTTATCCTTACTAAGGCTTGGAAAACCTAGGAACTTCCTACATAGTGCTGGTCATTTACTACTTCAATTGCATTTGGATATTGGCATTTATTTTAGTGACTTTGTTCTGAACAAATTAATGTTTTATTCACATCACCTTGGTCTTGAACTGGATATTGACTATCCCTGTATACCCTTTTGTATATATATATATATATATATATATATATATATATATATATATATACAGGGGCGGACTGACCATTTGGAAACTCGGGCACTGCCCGAAGGCCCGGGGTCAGTAGGGGGCCCCATGAGATGCCCCTGGTACCTTTTTCATAGGCTTTTTTGAGTTTGGGCAAGGACACAGGGGCCCCATGATCCCCTATTGCCCGGGGGCACCATGAGTTGTCAGTCCGCCCCTGTCTGTATATACATTTAAAATTGGTATGGATGGTCCACAGAATGAAGTTGGTGGATTCCACACATTGACTAAAGTGTTAGTGCCCAGGTTCTATGCTTTTTGTTTTTTGGCAAAACACATTGAGAGACTTATGATATAACTCAGTTATTCTTTTTGCATTTGTCATTTTGTTGCTGCAATTTTGTATGCCTGTACAAAAAATATCTGATGGAAGTATTCCAACTGTGTTTTTATCCATGTTCTATGTACAGT